AAAAGAGGTCTAGAGGCTTCACCAGATTGCCAAGGGATCCACGGCACAAAAAAAGGTTCGAGAACTCCTGCCTGGGCAATAAAAGCCTGAGCACTAGAGCCAAAAAACATGGGTTCCAATCCAGCTCTGCCAATTTCCAGTTCTTTTCCTTTGAGCAAAAGGATTTAAACTCTCTGAACCTTGAATTTCCCCATCTTGACTGAGGGAGTCAACACAGAAACAATACCTACCTCGTTCATCAACAACTTAACCGAACACCTGTTACTCTGCGCCAGGCACAAGGCTGAGTTCTGGGGCTACAGCAATGAACACGGCAGAGAGGGAGGGCTCTTCGGTACCTTCTACAGAAGGTCAGGCCATGGACACCATTTAGCAAGGACTGGCACATAAGCATTCTATAAACACTACAGTCCTACGGCTAAACCCACAACGTTTAGTGTTTAATTACGTGCTGATTTACGTTGCGTCCCATGGAACTACTGTTGGTTCATCTAGCTCGTGCCCTCCCTACAAAGCATCACGCTCCCAGAGGGCACAGCTTGTTGGATGAAAGAACAGAGGATTTGGAACCAAATGGCGCTGGCTTCGAAACCCCACTCTGCCACTGGCTAGCTCTGTAGCTATACCAGAGAGCAGTGGCTGTCCCCCAAAATCCGTCCTCTACTTCCCCTACAGTAACAGAATTTCTAGATTTGTGCTGCGCACATGGACACTCAGAATTAAAAAGAATATTTCCCAGCTTCCCTTGCAGCAAAGTATGGTCATGTGATCAAATTCTACCCAATGGGAATATAAGCAGAAGTGATGTGTATAACTTCCCAAGAAGTGTCCTGAAATTAAGATGGCTTGCCCTTTTCCCTCTCCGCTCAGCCATCAGGGTCATGAGATGCCTTTGCGTGCATGTGGGGCAAGCCAGAAGGGGCCCGGATCCTCCCGCTGAGAAGCTCATTTCTACCTGGTACAGTGACCCTCCGGCAAGTTCCTCCACCTCCCTGGGCCCTCATCTACAGAAAGGTGATCAGACAAGGCCTCTCTACCCAGCAAGGTAGTGTTGAGGAGTTAATGAGAGGGGGCTTGCTTCACAGTAAGGGCTTGAGTTAGGAGAGGTTATATGGGCACTGTTCTTATCTCGCTGCAATGCAAAACGTTGGACATTGAGACATCTTAACACTGCCCCGGGCCCAGAGGTGACTCCACGATCACACACTTAAAAGGCATCCCAGCCACGCTAATCCGCCAGACAAGAACTCCCTTCTCTGACACCCTTGTCAGAAGGCCCCCAGGGAAGAGATGTGCACTCCCTCTGAAACTACTGATGGGAGATGGGTGTTTGCTCACTCTTTCATCACTACCCTCATCTATTCCTTCGGAATCTCAGAATCCCGGAAGGAATCCGGAATCCTTCCTCGGAGGGCCGCGACCCACCTCACTCCTCACTCAGCCTTCTTATCTCTCTGCCTTTGATCAGCCCAGCCCTGCCTCTGGACACACTCCCACAGGACATCAAAGTTCCCTTCTCTCTATTGGAAACACCCTCTGGTCTCTCCCCAAAGCTTCCTAACTAACTGGGAAGTAATTGATCGCTTCCTGAGCCCCTCCTCTTCCAATAAAGGCTTCCCAAGCTCTCGGAACGAAATCCTCTCCCGTTGAGCAGACTACAGAACCACCGGCCGCCAAGAGGCTCTTCTGAGTGGATCCACGGAGGCCCCAACGCCTCCATTGGGAGTGTTCTGTTGCTAACACTTCTAAAGCGATTTCGTCTTGTTTGCAGCATCAGCACTGGGCTGGGAGGCATAACTCTTCCTGGCAATGCAAAATCGAAATTTGCTTTATGTGCCTAAAGCTCATATTCATCTTTCCTGATAGTTCCCTCCCTGTTCCTCAGACACAAATCCTAGTCTGTCTCTCCCACCCAGTTGTCATCATCCTGTGTCACTGTCGCTCACACAGGCTGCTCCCAGGCACAGCCACAACCAGCTCGCTCTCTCTCTCTCCTTCTGCCCCTTCTCAGCGGTGGAACTTTACTCTCCTCCTCATGGTTCAACCAGGGCCAGGCTTCAGAATTGGAACAAGGGTGGCTGTGGCAGCCAATGGCTCCCGAGCGGGGTGGGAACCCAGAGCTGCAACAGGAAGAAACAAGACAGTGGTCCAGAGGGCAGGAACCAGCACCCAGACAAGGAGAAAGGGAGGAACCGAGAGCAGAAAGCACGGGCCTAATGATGTCAGAGGGGCTACGTGCATCTTGGAGATCCACCCTGAATCCCCCAGGGTCTCCTAACTCACATTGCTCTTCAGGAGGCTGGCTGCACCTCGGAGCAGTCTCACTCTGCAGAGCACTTGGCCTTATCCTACTGTTCACACACACACACACACAATTTTACTCCAGGGTGTGACTCACATGGCATAAAACCCGGGGATTCTTTGCTGTTTCCAAGTCACATTACACATTAATTTGCATGACGCAGCGAGAACGCTGCCCCATGAATCACGCCACGCCAGACTGCAAGCAGGAAGCAAGACCAGACCCCACCGTGGGTTATGTCTCCTCTCCAGATACTTTCTGCTCTCCAAGGTCCCCTCCACCGTGCTCTGAGCCCCTGAGGAAGGAGAAAAGAGGGGATGTTCCCGGGGGGGGGGGGGGGGGGGGGGGCAAAAGACCAGGCAGAGATGAACGTGTGTCCACGGCACCAAACCTCCCCGCTATCACCACGTCCGGCTCCCGCCACCATCCCCCTTCAAGGCCACCTTGAGGCTCACTGTCCTCCACAGCACCTGTTTATACGCGAGGCTGGCATGAAGGGAAGGTGCCAGGGCCAAGCTTCCACTCCACAGAGCAGCCAGCACAGGGAGCAGCAGGACTGACAGTCCCTGAGCAGCCCGAAGAAACAAAAGGCACAAATGTCACATCTCCTTGTTTTCCCATCAACGCTTCCCCCAGTCCTGGGCCCCACCCAACCACCCTGCCTCTTTCCCGCCTTCGCCACACAGCCCAGCCCACACTGGATCCTCCCGGAGGGCTTTCCTTGTTGGTCCTCCCGAATCCACGTGAATCACTAATTGCTGACTTACACCCCCGACGCTAAGCGAATGACAAAACAGAGAATCACAAGTGGCAATCGGATCATTAGGACTGGCGAGCAGAGAGCTTCCTGCCTCCTGAGTCCACCTGAGCACACGGGAGACACTATCCTAACCCACACCCGGGCAGAGGGGGTGGTGCCTGCACTGCCGCCAGCCCAGTGTGTGTGCATGCGCCGGGCAGGGAGGGCTGGCACCAATGAATTCACGCGCTGCTTCCTTCAAGAGCTACGCACTGGGATTACCTAGGACAACAAAGTCGGGTGCCTGAGTCACCCTATCAGAGACTCTGGTTGAATTGGTCTGGGGTTACCTCCTGGACTTTTATGTTTAATATATTTTTTAAATTGATTTTAGAGAGGGAGAGGGAAAGAGATAGGAACATTAATGATGAGAGAGAATCATTGACCGGCTGCCCCCTGCATGCTCCACACTGGGAATCGAGCCCACAACCCAGGCATGTGCCCTGACTGGGAATCGAACCCTGACCTCCTGGCTCATAGGTCCATGCTTATTTAGCCATTGAGCCATGATGGCTGGGCCCGCCTCGACTTTTAAAAGCTCCCCCAGTGATCCCAACCTGTACCCAAGTTTGCAAACCACTGACTGCACACATTTATGATGTGTTCAGACGTTTTTTAAAACGGTCAAGATGTTCAGAAGACTCACAGCCTTTCACTGCCAAGAAAGGTGATAGCCCTTGGAGGCCTTGTCCCAGGCTATGGAGACTCAGACGCCAATCCCATCAATCCTGTCAGTCCCGGTGAGGCCGAACCTGGAACCCGGTTCTCTAACCCCAAGCTCCGTTCTCTGTCCACCCACCTGGGTGCTCTCCCCAGGGAGTAGACAAGGCATGGAAGCAACCTCCACTGCCAGCAGGTCATGGACAAACCCCACCAATACCAGAAACCTAGACTTGGAGGTGCAGAGACGCCGGCAGCAGTGACAGAGGGGACCCAGCCATCCAGAGAGGGCGGGAAGTGTGCCCACGTGTGAGCCAATGCAGAGAGAGAGACAGATCCTGGCCAGGGAGCTTCTCCGAGACCCAATGTGTCCTAACACACCTCACTGGAGACGGGGCTCAATGGCAGGGAGAGTAGTTTTGAATTTGGGAAGAGAAGCCTTAAGAGAGGTGTCCAAGGTTTGCCTCTCAGCACCAGTGTCTCCGTCCAGCTCTAAGCATTCTGACTGTCTGTGGGGCACAAAAACCAATCCTAATACCTTCTCAAACCACGCAGCTGCAATCCCTCCAGCCTCTGTTCCCGCCAGACCAACAATCCCAGCTTCCTCGGGGAGGGGACATACGATGAGTACCTTCAAACACGTGTTTGTGTGCAAACTACTTAGGTAGGGCAAAGCATCCCTCCAACCCCTTTCCAACCACGCCTACCTCCCCCCCATCAGCATCACCTTTCCAGCCACGCCTTACCTCCCCCCCATCAGCATCACCTTTCCAACCACGCCTACACCCCATCAGCATCACCACACCAGCCTCCGGGACACGGGAGGAATAATGTTGCCACGTTGGGTTAAGGCTTTCCATGGACACTCAGGCGCATCTGTAATACCGCAAGGAACCAGCCCACAACCCACATGGAGTCCCCAAACCACTGAGGGGCAGATGGGGGAACCTCACCCTTGCAAGGCCTGGGGCAGACCCTTTAAGGGCAGCAAATGTTCCTTCCTACAGACCGCACACGCCGTTCCACTGTTCCTCCCCGGCCAGAAACGGGCCTCTTAGTGCCCCCGTCCAACCCGTGCCACACAACCTGGGCCGCTCAACCCGTGCCACGCCGGCCGCCGCTCGGTGTCTCGACACCTCCTGGTGTTGATGGGAAAGAACCACACGGAATGACAGGAACCAACAGCAGGTTAAACTTTCCCATCGATCGACCGGTGGCGCTGAGAGCATTGCCACTTACCCAGCACAGCCAGACAGCTCAGCACCGGGAGAAAGCACTTCATGTCGGCAGCGGAGAGAAGTCACAACACGGGCGCTTCCCTCTCTCCCCGGACTTAATCTCTCATCGCTGGCAATCCACTCACAGCTCCGGGGGACGGTTTTGGAAACAGAACTTAACTCGGGGAAACAAGGAAAGGTTAAAGAGGAGAGATCAGCAGGAGGAGGCAGTCGGGAGGGCCCCTGGTGGGGGGCACGCGTTCAACTCCCCGATGCAAAGAAAGGGTCCAGAACAATCCTGCAGGCGCTCTGGGCACCTGCCACCTCGCGTGCCTTGCGGTTTCCACGGGAATTACAGATTGCGGTGGGTTAATCCTCCAGGAAAAGGGGGAAAGAGTCTGAGAAAATCCTTTCATCCGCTGATTATACAGAAATGTCCTTGGCTTCCCAGTGAAGGTGTCTGTGTGCCCTCTCCCTCATTCGGATTCCCCGCAGGGGACTGGGCAGGTTTTATCAAAACCTTCAGCAGCCGAATCGCCCCTGGCTAACAGCCACTGCTTGGGTTTCTTCTTGGAAAAGTGCTCTCCACCCATGATGGGAGGTCAAGGAGCTGCCGCCAACCCCAGACCCGCCAGGTACAGGCGAAGCCGGTAGGCGTTTCCGAGCCCCGAGGCGGTCCCCGACGCCAGCAGATTTCTAAAACAAACACAACAGAAGATTTATCAAAGCCCCGCACGCCGGCCACAAAACCCGGGGAGGGGCAGAGCCCGCCGGACATCGGGGTCCCTTCCCCGGATCGGGACAGACGCTTTACAGTCTGACCTTGGTCCAGTCGCAATGGTGGCCTCCGCCTCAGTTTCCCCGCCCGGAGAGGGCAATGGTGGGCAGCCGGATGGTGCCTGCCATACTTTTGCCAAATGCTTCACTCCTGGGAATTCCCTGCGCCTCCGCCGAGCCCGGCGCCACGGGCAGCCCCACCCTCCGCGGGCGCGATCCGGCCCGGGGCTCCGAGGTGGGGCGGCCGCTCCCGGTTCCACCCCGGCCCCCGCCCCCTACGTGGGAGCCCTGCGCGCGCCGCGTCCCCGGTGGCCCCGCTATTGTTGTACCTTCCCGGGTGTTTCTTTTCCGCGGGGCGGGAAGGAAAGGCACGGAGGGAGCAGGGCGCCGAGGCTGCACTTTCCGCTGCCGGGACACGCTCGCTGCGCGCCCGGCCGGCCGGAGGAGGGTCTGGGGCCGACCCCGGAGCGCAGCCGGCGCCCGGCCCGCCGCCGCCGCCCGTCCTCGCGTACCCCCCCCCCCGGGGCCCCGCACCGCCCGCTGCCGCCCGGGCCCGCGCCGCCCCCGATCCCCTGTCCTCACCTCCCCGCGGCCCTCTCCCTCTCCGCGCCGCTCCGTCTGCCGGGCGGCCGGCCCGGGCGCACGCCTCTGGGGACGCGCCGCCTCCTCCCAGTCCTCCGGCTACGGCCCCGCCGCCGCGCCCCGCCCGAGGCCCCGCCCCCGCCAGCCCGGCCGCCGCACCGGCCGCCGGAGCGCGGGGCGCGGGTGCCGCCTGGGCCAGAGGCCCCGCCCCCGGCCCGCCCCTTCCCGCAGACCGGGGCCGCGGCGGGGCCGGGGGGCCTGGCTCTTGGGGGCCTAGCTGTTGGGGACCCGGGGCGGGGCGCGCAGAGGCCGCACCTGCCGGCGGGAAGGGCCACCCAAGGACCTGGACACAGCCGGCGTGCGGGCCAGAGGCCCTGAAAGTTAACCTGGGGGTCACCCGCAGCCTCCCGGGCCGCAGGCTAGACCCTTCCCAAAGCCCAGCGGAGGCCCAGGGCCTCCAGGAGGGCGGCACCAAAACAAAGCCCTCGCAGAGGCCATGCGCCTCTTCATGCAGTGATATTCACCCATATTGCGCTTCGCTCTAGCACCGAACTTCCCAGAAGCTGAGACCCAACTGGACTCTGAAATAGCCTGGGTTCTCACCCTGGTTCCTCCACTTCCTCAAGACAAACCGCGGTCCGGGGACTCTGTGCCTCCGTTTCCCCATCTGTCATGGTTTGTAGGAGCCGCCCGGGATACACGCATAAAACAGAACGGTGCTGCCGCGTCTTCTGCGCTCAGTAACTGAGCTGTGATTGCTTCAGGAGGAAGTCCTATCCAAGCAAGTGCATTTTCATTCATTTGATACTTATCCAACCGACCTAGGGGCCGGGGAGGGACTCTCACAGGTGACCAAGGTAAAACAGGGCAGCCCTGTCCTCCTGCAGCTTCCGGTCTCATGAGGAGACAATGAAACAGGGACGGCAAGAAAAAAGTGTTGACAAAGCACGTGCAGGGACATACGTCCGGTGTTGGGGGGTCGAGGCATGAGGAGGGGGGGCAGTTGGTCACCCAGGAAGGCTTCTAGGAAGAACCAAATAGCAGAGGAGGCAGCAGAGCAAGAGAGAGGAGAGAGTGAGGAGTCACAGGCCTTGGACTCAGCATCCTGGCAGACCCAGAGGGGAGAGAGAGTGGCCCACTTAGAGGAACAGAAATCTCTGTCCGGCCCAAACGAGGCTGCAAGAAAGTACACGAAATGAGCAGAGGAGAAATCCGGTGCCTGAACCAGGAGCGCTCTGGACGCTGTTAAGGAAGTTTGGACTTTAGCCCAGAGCCTTAGGGAAGTTTTGTCCACTGTGGGAGACCACTCTGGCCTAGGTGTGGAGGGTAGGATGGAAGGGGAGTTATACAGGCATCTGGGGGTGTTGCCGGAAATCCAGACAAAAGGTAATGGCGACCAGACCACAGAAGTGGCAACAGGGAGAGGAGTGAGCAGGTCCCTTGATGTGGGGAGGTAGGCTCCTAAGGGTGAGGGTGAGGACGGGCCAGAAAAACCAGTTCCGCCTCAAAGGCCGAGATCAGGAGAGTAAGAGAGGGCTGAATGGGGTGAGTTTGAGTTGCCTGCGGGCATGCAAGTGAAGGTGTCCCAAAGCAACTGGGTGTGGCGGCAGAGGCCTGAGAGATTGGGGCCGGGTGGAGTTCAGAACTCAGAACGGAACTATGGGTTTGTAAAATGCTTTTTCACCCTTCTGAACAGTATGACAGTGAAAAGATTTAGTGAAGGAATAGACTGATAATTCATTTATGCGAGGGAGGGAGGGAGGGAGGGAGGGAGGGAGAGAGAGGGAGAGAGAGAGAGAGAAAGAGAGAGAGAGAGAGAGAGAGAGAGAGAGAGGGAGAGAGAGAGAGAGAGAGAGAGAGAGAGAGAGAGAGAGAGAGAGAGATGAAGAAAGACCCACAGCATGCAGGGCAATGAAGAACATGCTATGAGGAATTCAAAAATAACTAAGGGGGCCTTAGCTAGTTTGGCTCAATGGATAGGGCCTCAGCCTGCGGACTGAAGGATCCCAGGTTCAATTCCGGCCAAGGGCACATGCTGAATTGCATGTTCAATTCCCAGTAGGGGTTGTGCAGGAGGCATCCAGTCAAGGATTCTCTCTCATAATTGATGTTGCTATCTCTCCCTCTCCCTTTCTCTCTAAAATCAATAAAATATATTTTTAAAAAATAACTAAGGGGTCTTATTTGCCCCTATCCTCGATCCCTTGCCTTCATGATCTGCCCTTAATCATTTATTGCAAACAACTCTTAGCATTGTGGCCTGCATATAGTAATTGCACTATAAATACTTGAATTGAATTGGATTGGATTAAAATATTTATCACATATGCCAAGAATTGTATTGAAATCTCCTCTTGTGCGTTAAATATGACCTCTTCCTCCCAAGACAACCCTGACTCTGGCACCTCCTCCCTCTCTGCTAGACTCCTTCATTTGTTTAGTGAGCCCTGCTATGTGCTAAGACAAGACTACTCTCATGGCACTTAAGTTCTAGAGGAAAACACAGATCAATGTGTGACATAGCATGACGTGTGTTCTGAGGAAAAGCAGGATAAGGGAATTGTGTGGGGGTGTGGAGGAGGATTCTGTTCCAGGTGTGGCGGTCAGGGAAAGCCTCACAGAGGTGGTGACGTTTGATCAGAGAACTGATTAGAGGGAGGGAGGGAGGAGGGGGGAGCCTTGGGGATTTCTGCAGGAAGAACATTCCAAGGTTAGGGAACACCAAGGGCAAAGCCCCTTCATATGCTCAGAAGCTAAAAGGTGTGCCTGCAAAGGCCTGAGAGAGAAGGGGGCGGGGTTGTTTTCAAAAAGGTCACAGAGCGCAAAGCCTACAGGACCTCACAGGCTGGGGGCAGTTTGGGTGGCTCTGGCTGCAGTGACAGGATGGAGCTTTGGAGGGCAGGAGTGGAGGAGGGGCACTAAAAAGGAGGCTCTTATGGTCACGATGGTGATTGATGACCACTGCTAGGGCTGGGGTGGTAAAGACGCAGGTGAGGAGAAAGGTGTGGCGTCTGGGAGCATTTTGAAAGGAGACTGATGTGATAGGGAGGGGAGAGAAAGAGGAGAGTCAAGGAAGCCCCACCTAAGTCTTATTGGGAGTTCTTTGGCCCCACCAAGCCTCCCAACCCCGTTTCCAAGCCTGAGCTTCTCAAGCATTTACTCCCCAGGCCTCCCCGGGGCCACTTCCTCTGTCCTCGGACCTGCACTCAATCTCTCCTGCTCAGTGGTTTCCTCTCAGCCTACCTCACCTCCTACCGTGTTGACCTGTAGCATCCTTCTGAATGACCTGTCAACCCCAGGCTGGTTCCCCGGCACAGCATCTTCCGAATTTCCACGGTGATGAACCATCGAGGATATTTAAAGAGCTGTGCTAACTGTAAGGCAGGGAGAGTCAATGCAAGTAAGGGCTGAACAGGGGCATGCTAGTGGCCCTTCACCTGCAAGCGGAGAAAGCCATGACAAGGGAAGAAGCGTCTGGTCTGAACACTCTTGCATCACCTGTGTGTGTGTGTGTGTGTGTGTGTGTGTGTGAGAGAGAGAGAGAGAGAGAGAGAGAGAGAGAGAGAAAGAGAGAGAGAGAGAGAGAGGTCTTACACTGGAATGTAAGGCCCCTCCTGGGCCGGCCTGGAATCAGCTGCCCAGTTGGGATGTTTGGGGAGACTCCTTCCTGAACCTTTCCCTCCACCCCCCACCCCGCCCCCTCCGG